GGGCAGGAGGGCTCGAACTGGGAGAAAATGTTGCCTACTGTTGAATTCGTGATCAACAACAGTCCAACACAGGCCACGGGGTACACGCCGTTTTATCTGAACTACGGTTTCCATCCGTGTACACCCATGGACTTTATCCGGGATCACAACTCCACCATGATTGAAGGGGTCAACCAGTTTGTGGACCGGATCAAAAGGAATTTCTCAACGGCTCTGAAATTTCTGAATCGGGCCAAAGATAGGATGAAGTCCCAAGCTGATCAGAAGCAAAGGGAACTGAGGCTGATTAGTGGGGATCAGGTGCTACTATCGACTGTCAGTGAGTATTTGAACTTGAAGAATGCACCTATCTGTAAGCTGAAGAGGCGATTCGTTGGGCCTTTCTTTGTGGTTCGTCAGGTGGGACCAGTGGCCTACGAACTCGAACTCCCTGAGAAGTGGAAGATTCACAACATATTTCACATCAACTTATTGTTTCCTTTCAGAACCAGCCAGTGGACGCACCCTACTCAGGAGGGTCAGATTGAGGATATAGAGCCCGCAGAGGATGAGCCATATGATGTCAAGAAATTACTTGTTGGCGGTGGGCAGGACCCAATTCCAGGAGGCGCAAGGAGTATTTAGTGCTCTGGAAAGATTATTCATTGGATGACGCAACCTGGACTCCAGAGGAAAATTTCACTTACCCAAAAGAACTCAAAAAGATTATCAAGAGGGACTGGCCCATTGAGGACAACTAGGTCATTGGGTTTTGCTTAAATGTTTCGAGGGCGAAACTACCCCCAAGGGGGAGTACTGTTATGTAAACTACAAGGGGGTAGCCGGTCTACTCAACTTATACACTGGGAAGTGATAATAGACACGATATTGCACTTAAATGGGATAGAGGAGGCTATTAGCTTTCCATAGGTCTTTGAATCATCCCAAACGGGTTAGCGGTAGTGGAGTTATGGCTTATAGAAGTTCTAGTACTTAAGGTTGGGCCCCTACCGTACTCGGGGATGAGATACTATCGATACGGGTACATTCGATACACTGTTCTGTCGATTGTGTACCGCTGCTTGTGGGGGTCATGTGACTGGCCCCGCACGTCAGCCTGTAATTCCATTCGTGCCCACTCGCCTCCCAGCGGCTGCACCCGCAGGCCGCAAGGCGCCGCGCCACCCACTGCGCGTACGGCCGCCTTGCGCCCGGCCAATCCGCAGGCCTGGGCCCACACTGCGCATCCAAAGAAGACGAGCGCCCCGCAAAGCCCGCCAGCCATCCTGCGGAGGGGGCCCCGCGGCCCCATCGGGCGCCTCGGCGGGCGCATCGCCCGCGAACACACCGAAAACCACACCAACAATCCACGTGGATGAAAAGTGGTTCTATTTGACGACAGATGCTCAGAAAGTGTGGATCCTGCCTGAGAAAGAGCGTCTAAGGGCTCCCAAAGCACAGAGCAAGAGTTTTATAAAGAAAGTGATGTTTTTGGCTGCCGTTGGCCGCCCCCACAAAAGGCCAAACGGGACCAAATTCAATGGATTGATAGGGACTTGGCCATTCGTGAGGGAGGGCTTTGCGGTGCGATCAAGCAAACATAGAGCTGCTGGGGACGCAGAGTTGAAGCTGGTTTCAGTGGATGGGGATGCTTGGAGGGATATGATGGTGGAAAAGGTCTTCCTCGCCATCAGAGATGCATACAAACACTTGAAGAAACATATCGTGATCCAACTCGACGGGGCCAAGCCACATACCAAATCATCGATTCAAGCATCGATTGAGGCAGAATGCTCCAAGGAAGGTTACCACATAACCTTGGAGCGGCAGCCTGCCCAAAGTCCAGACTTCAACGTCTTGGATCTTGGGCTTTTTGACTCGTTGCAGGTCCGTGCATCAGAGATCAAAGATGACGGAAATCTGCAAGCCATCGTTGACACCGTGACATCAATGTTCTACAACCACGATTCAAACACGCTGGAGCGTGTTTGGCAAGGGCTATTCCACGTGTTTGATGCTGCCCTCCACCACGATGGCGGGAACGACTTTGGCTTGCCGCACGCAAGGACGGGAGCCGCCCAGATGCGTGGAGATCTCCCATGGACGTGGAATGTGAATGCGCATTTTTTGGGCCGGGCAAGGGGTATTTCGGATGCTGCTGAAAGGGGTCAAGACTGATTTTTTTCCCTTGAAAATTGGTAGTTAAGGGTTTTGGGACCCAATCTTTCCGATTCTGACATTTTTTGGTACTTTTGAGGTAGTCCTTGTAACGAATTTTGTCTTTAAAATAGAGGACATTTAATATGGGACGGAGGAAGTAGCAAATTGCCACATCCAACGCTAGTGCACAGGGTGGCAGGAGAGAGGGCAAAATGACACATTCGTTCCAGGCTCTCCATATGTGAAGGCCATGGGGCACGGAAGTTCTGGTTGCAAAGAAAGACAAAGCTTAATCCGCACTATGTTTGAAGCGTGTTTTGGGGGTACAGCCTGCTGCGTTGCCTATTGAACGGCGCCACTAGATGCCCGGGAGGCAGGAGACAGAGACTCTCTCAAAAATCTGTAATTGCCCTTGAGCCAATGAACATGGCATATATTTATATACATGAAAATTCCCATTAGCTCATGCTTCCCCAATTAAGCAAATTCAGTAATCCCACTGTATCTGTTCTTGGTAAGGTCCAGCCACATGCCGCGGCAATTCCTAGGACACCCTGGAGACAGGCCACAACGTTATGACAAAGAGGCAATGTCATCGGAAAAACCCATAAGGGTCCAAAACTTGGCAACGACGTTGGCCGAAAGGCGTCGGCACATTGATACCTTGACATCAGCCCTCCTCCAAGCAGGTCTCTTATTTATTTGCGTTGACAGCACTGCCCTTTACGTTTCCTATTTTACGGGCGACGTTGTGAACATAGAGGCTCCTATAACCGCGGTCATTTCATGGCATTTCCTTGCAGTTTTGCGACAATACAACACACTCAGGATGCTTTACGATGTCGCAAACAATGACGAGGCAGTCGCTGTGAATGGCAGCACCAAGGAGTGCGGAGGCCAGGCGTAGAGTGTGAATGGCCTGAGGGGCTGTTCAGTGCCTAGCACTGGCTATAGACCAGCAAGAGAACTGCTTGGGCACTTCTGGTCTGTGTGGGGGTTCGGTTTTGTGGCATCTTCATTCAGTGTCTGCTCCGTTGACGTCTGGACATTGGGTATTGGCTGCCAGAGCTTGTAGATCTGGCTGTGTCTGTGTGATGGGAGCTGACAGCAGGAGCATTCCAAAACTGCTGGGAAAACCATTGCGGATTGCCTTACAGTGCCATAATATGGCAAGAGCTTGCAAAGCTCACAGAAAAATCACCACTTAGTCCTTAGTCCACGACGCTCCTGATCCTCCAAAACATCTTCAAGTACTGGAACCTCATAGGACACTGGTATTACTGGTGCTCTGGTAGTGCAGGTATGGAAAAGCATGGAGAGGTGATTATTTGGAATCAAACTCAGTAAGCATGTGTGAAAGCTTCTTCAGGCCTGGCTCCTAAGGTTTCCTCACTCCTCTTTCCGCCTGGGTAGGCTCCTTGTCCCACCCATGTCCACACACACACACACTGGACCAATACATTACAAGACAACACTGTTTGTCCCAAACAACCCGAAGTACCCACAACTTGTGTGCCCAATCGCTTTGCTAGTAGCTGAGGCAGTCCCCATACATGACTCCACCATGAGTTGGACCCACAGCTCCTTCTTCTCTCGCACTTAACTCCCACACTTTCCCCAAATCAACCGAACATCACCTTAATAGGGAGGGTTGGGCGGGAAGTGAAACAAGATAGAGTGGGTACTGAGCGGCGAGCCCAAATAGCCCACCCGGCTCGTGCCCGCCAAAGCCGATCACTCCCAAGGGCGCCAAAAACCTCTGGCTCTCCTTGAACGTGACGAGCTGGCCACTGACCCAAGGAACAAGGGGACAGAAACCCCGGGGTCAGCCAAAAACCACCATACTTAAGCGGCGCTGGCCCAGCCGGAGCCAGCGCGCCTGCCCCACGTCGCCCTTGGCGGAAACCCATTGACAAGATAGGTAATCCCATTTCCGCATCCAGGAAGTCTCCTCAATGCGACCCGTTATCATATTGGGTGCTAGATTCCGTCTTTCCATGCAACAGTGGCTTTTCTGTCGTAATCCATGTGAAAACAAGGTCTTTGTCACTGGGAGGCATTGCCCGCTTTTACTGTAAGCAAACCACCCAGGAAAACGGTGGGAATTACGAGACGACCCGTCCCTGTACTGGGACAACTTCGATAAACTACAACGGGTAAGGCAAAGGGTCCGCAACAAGGGGTACAGACCCCGTTCCTGGTCCCGTCACTCCCAACAAACATGTTATTTTTGATCCGTTGCCAGCCCCAATGTCGCCCTGCAACGGACGTTGTCAATGCTTTGTGCAGTAGCTCGTCTTTGGCTCTGATGGAATATGATCACTCATTCTCGGCAACCGGTGTTGTGCGTTCTATCCATTGGCGGCCCCGCTATACATAGGGGGCCCGCTGTATCCCCTGTTGTCGATGTCGACATCAAGGGTACAAATACCAAGTGTATGCATGGCAGCTGCGGAATATCCGTTGCAAAGCCATGCCCATGGTGGGCCACCACTTGTGAGCTGCCTCCACTGTGGTGCTTCTCAACACACCCAAAGGATTGCCTCCCCGCTCCAGCACCTTACGAGCGTCGTTGACATTCGGCTCCTGAATATATCCTGTATTGTTGGATGTTGGTGGCATGACCCAATTTCAGTCGGAAATTGCAATTCCGACTGAATGCATCGCGACTGCATCAATCAATTTTATTAGGCACAGCGGCAAAAGCTTCACACGCACATTTGCCACCAGAACAAGACTGGAGCTGTGCAGAAATGGCACATTAACATTGCCTTACATCAATCTCTGGGAAACACGTGATGGTCAAAAGGTGCACAGGCGCCTTGTCTAAAAGCACAAAGGTGAAAATGTACGAACATGAATTACAATTCCGTGTGTGAGCATTCCCTATTGTATTGTTTGGTGGAGTTATCATTTCCCCTCTTCTCAATCCATTCTTTGAATCCCCACATGTGCACAAACGCTCGTGGGGCCACAAAGTGCTTGTAGCCTTCCAAAGTTGTTTGCAGGCCAACCAGATCTCGATCATCGCACAGCAGAGCAGCGCCGTGGTCCCCTGCACGTGGAAGATTGAAACAATACGCTTGACAGCATGGGTAGGATGACACACATACGCCAATAAAACAGAGCAGATAGTATTCAATCGCCATGCCGTCTGGATGACAGCAGCAGCAAGTGCAACTACACATAAGCAAACATCTGACAGCAGTATCTGTGGTGCCACATCATGGAGGAAGTAATATACGTGGACATGCTAATTCGTTGAAACTTGTGTTGGCAGACTGTGATAGAGCCTGTTGTAATGGATGAACTCCATACTGTAGGGAAACCAGCATTCGAAAATAAAACAATCTCAAGAACAGGCTCTACCAATTTTAAAGTTAGACAACTCCATCATCATTCAAACGATTGGGACTATCAACCACAACCTATTGAGCAAAAACTGCCTCTACAACCTGAATTTCTGCACTGCTCAAACATTGGCATCCAGGTGAGTTGATCCCCAAGACATTTGGAAGTATATTTCCCTGAACAATTCCGACTGAAAGTTCAGAAAAGGCCTGGGTGGCGCTGGAAAGGTAGAAGAGCACAAACCATGGAGAGCCCAAGCACTCTGCATTGTAGAGAAACAACAGGCCTTACAAGCTGAGAAAGCGTGAAAGTTCACGCTCTGTTTGGCTCCAAATGCATTGCTTTATCCCGTGCTTCCACTAAGTGTGCCCAATAGGGGTCTACAAACCACACCCCTTGCAGCTGTAATGCCTTCCAGCTGCATGAGGGACTCTAGATGGCTTGCGGTACCTTGCAGCCCCAGATTTACAAGGCTCTGTGCCCAAAACCCGCCATGAAAACTGGGCAGGGTTGCAATTCCAACAGTTCCCAGATGGAACGAGCCCACAAAAGCACTGCATTGTGTGGGAAGTGATCATGGACATGCAGCAATGCAATTGTGGCCCAGAAACACAGCCATTTTGGAAGCATTTTGGAGCTCTGTGTGTGCTTCTTTGTTGCAAGGAATTTGGCTTGTTCTGCGTTTGTGCTATGCTCAAATCAAAGCACATGTGCAAAGCCGGCCATGCTACACCAGTAGAAACAGACGTTCTTGCGATGCCAACTGCGATGCCATTTGACACTAATTGATGCCATCGAACCCATTTTTGTGCCATCGCAATTACTGCGATGGCATCACTCTGTGTCCAAATGGCATCACAGTTGGCATCGCAAAGATGGTGTTTCTGTTAGTGGTACCTGTAACTCAAACTGTCTTGCTCACTATTCGTCTTTGCTTTCTGTGTCATAGCACTATGATGAGCAGTGTTCCCAACCATGCAGCTGCCACCTGCCAAACTGTGAAGCTGTGGACAGCACCTACTGCGCGTGGCGGCAGTCATTTCAATGCCACTTGTGAAGTTGCCATCTCCATGGATGGCCATACATCGGTACAGTAGCTGTGCACAGCATTGGTGTGCCTCGGGGCACACTTGCTGTTGTCCATCCCATCTGGCTCTGCAATGCTATGGACATGCACTGTACCTAATGCCCCCTTAGAAAGGATTTCCTGTTGGTTGGTGCAGGCAGAACAGATGCCAACGGACCGCTTTGTGGACTGCTTTGCAAACTTGCCCAGCCAATTATCCTGTCCAACCTGCACACAATGGATGCTATGCACGTTGCAAAAGAAAACCAACAGCAAGAGAGAGAGCCAAAACATATTATACTGACATTCTAGAATAAAGGACTGAATTTTCTGTGCTACAACTTGAAGGCACAAACCCCAATGTACATATTAAGACAACGTAATTATCTTCTTGGCTAAGCATGAAACTCCTAACAGCACAGACAGTGCCCAATTCGCTTTGCCTTTTAACCAAAACTACAGTCTCCACCATAGCATACTGTAGCTTGTGATACGTCATGCACACATACCCACAGCATATGTTCGTTTAAGCAACCAGTGCAATTTCACTTTGATATATATTGAAGCCAATGCTGAGGAAACATACAGCAGCACTTGTCACTCAATGTTTCTGTCAAAAACATATCCCTGCAGGCTGATACTCACAGAATGGGATGACGTTCGGACGTTCCGTGGCGCACACCACTCCTCCAGGCAACACGCCCAGCCTTTTCTCACAATCAAAACGAGTGGTGTATTTAAAACCAATAGACACTCCTTGGCACCGAGAGGGTGCTAGAGATGCACCTTGGCGAGGCCATCCAACCATGGACAATGCATCGCTGGGGCATTCCAGTATGGATCTCATTCCTGTGATCGGTTTTGCATGTTGCAGCGCTTTTTTAAGAAATAAGAGTGCGATGTCACCACCATTTTCTGCACTGCCAGAAAAGCTTTCATGGATTCTTGACTGGCAAATCTTCATCAACTGCAGGCACACGACACTCAAGTCAGCGGCAAGTACTGCACAGCAAATGTTAGTGCTTGATGCATTGACACAGACCTGAAGCAGAAGAAAATGTGGTTGAAAGGGTGATTTGCACCTTGTTCAGCAGCTGCAAATCAGCCTCTTAGTGCTTTACAGTGCATCCCTGACACTCCATCTCATGCCGCCATATATCACTTCAGCAAACCTCTTTGTCCCAATGCAGAAAAAGATGCGATCTCCATGTTGAAGAGAAGGGGCGCGAGGGGAAGGTCATCAACAACAACTGGACAGTACAACGAACAGCTTACCTCTGGAGGGCTGCCATCATGACAACACCCACTGCCAACTGTGACATGGGGAAACCTGCGACCTCTCAAACATGATGCAGTGGTCACCACCATGTCTCCAGCAACAAGGACTCCTGAGCAGATGTGTGTGTGTGTGTTTTCATCCACCAATCGCACCATGAAGGTATATTCTGGACATGGATATACAATGACCTGCTCACAACACGCCGCTGGTGATCATTTGACCACTGGGCTCACTTGCTGCACCATTTGTGCTGTGTTTCGTGCTTTGAGACTGATCTCCTACAGTGTGAACATGGGCTCAAAATTTTGCTTAGAGGGCAGGGAATCATGTCTTGTAACAGAGTCTCTCACTAAGACATTCCATAATTTCAAAGCTTGCTTTTACACATTTGCAGGCAGCAAGATGCATCACGAGATGGAAAGAAATCTATTTGAAGGCAGGATGCCTTGCCACCTACTTTAAATGGGACAGCAGCATATGCCTGCGGCACTCCTGCAACACATGGCAGATCGTCACCTATCCCATTGTAAATACTATAGTCCAAGCAGACTCCATGGCATAGACGTCGCCTCATAGGTCCCAGGACAGCACAGCACGGTGAGTTTACAGACTTGGCCACATATAGTTTCGATAATTTCCCAAAAGGCTCGCGACGCCGCGGATGAAAGCCCCTCAAGGCCTCTGGAGTACGGGTGGGATACCCTCCGAAGGGAAATTTCGAATGAAATGCCAAAGGCCGCGCGGCCACGCGTCGTTGAGCACCTGTGAGCCCCAGGAGAACCCAGCTCCACAGCGCGGCCCACATCCCTGCAACAAGGTCTTCCCTGGAGGGCACCTCGTGCGCTGCTGGTACGGAATTTGTCAACCACCGACTCGGCTGGGTGCGGTGCGGCCACGTGCGGGGCCTCGGGCGGTTTCTTACGAAGCAGAGACCGGTCAGCCGGGGGAGACGCGCAGGCCGTCGCGCCGATCTCCGTCCCTTGAGCTGTGGGGTATTTCGCGGATGCCGGCGTCAGAATCCTTGCCATTCTTGCCTTTCCATCCAACTCGCAATTGCCTAGTCCAGGCAGGGCAATGTTGAGGACATGTATGTGATGCACACGTTGCTAATCAACCATGTACCTTTTTTTTTTGTAATTCCAATGTATTACATCAAAAGATAAACAAAGGATCTCCCCCACAAAGCGTAAAGTATGCAAAGATCCTTTTCCAGCAGAAGCCGATGCAGGAACATAACCAGGAGATGAGAAGAGCATGAATGTTCGAAGAAACATAATGTTCCTGTGGGGGAGTCCTCAGCGCCAATGTGAAAAGTCATGTCAGATAGTGTGCATCATGTATTGTCCCAAATATCCCAGAGTGTTCAGAAACGTCCCCCAATGTACCCCATGTCCGTTGCTCAGTCTGATTCCCAGCATCGATCATAACCCTGTCAAGACGAAGAAACAACCATGTACCTTTATTGTTGCTCATGTCGCGCTCCTGCCGGTTTCCTCATTTCGAGCTTCACGTCGACGCACCAGCGCGCTGTGGTTGTCCCACGTCCTGCATTCTTCAGCACAAGTTATCTGCCCTTCACCTCGACACTGAAGGTTTGCCATAGCCCTTGTTCAAGAACTGGCGTTTGGGCAGGCCCCAGCCTGCAACGGATGTCATTCGCGCCCGTCAGCGGAGCGAAGGGCTCTGAACTACAATTAGACAAAGGCATGAGTCAATGCTATGAACATCTAAGCCGTAAATGAAAGGGCCGCATTACATTCCAGGATAGTATGGTGTTCGCATAGCCACATAATGGCAAACGTTTCACTACGTGGATAAGTCAGCTTTAAAGCCAGCAATTGCCTTGCATTTCAAGAGAGCGTTTGTTTTTGCATCGGATAGCCTGAGTTGATCGCCATCACAATTTCACTGACAATATGTGTGAAATGTTTTGATACGCCTTATTGTGACCTGAGTTGGCTCATGGGATGCCTTTTCGATCACGCTCATGGTTGTATGGGACAACATGAGTCTCTATGGGAACATGCTGTGTAGCTCATATGGACGTTCCTTGGTCAGATTATATTGTCCACAAGAAATCTTGTGGGGAAGTTTGTGGTCGTTTCTCCCGCAAACTTTACAATACCTTGAATCTTTGTTCATTTTGGTTTGCAAACATTCTTAAGACCTTCAAATGGCCATAAAAACGGTCTGGCCAGTTAGAAGTTTAGCGCGTGAATGGCGAATTGGAGTTGAGCGGCCGGGCTTCATTCTTTTTGTTCTTGCCTCATCATTGTCTTTTTGGTGATGATAGAGAGTCCGTGTTCCAGTAGCCGTATATCACACTGATTTATGAGTGAAATATTTATGGCATATTTTGTTCTTGGATATGCGCCGAGTGGGTATGCGGTCGAGCTGCTTGACGAGCGTTTGTGATGAAGAGGATCGCGGGCTTACAATTTGTTAGTTACAAATAGGCAGTCCGGTGGTCGTGAGAGCGGAGGAAAGTTGGTCGCGTTTGGTGCCACCGTCGACAACGAAAGTCGCGATTGGGATGAGAAACGGACAAACAAATATGCAAGCCCGAGCTCTGCGTGGGAGCTGCCTTGTGAGGCCGTAGTGAGGGCCGTTGAGTCGGCGTTGCGTTTGTGGTGTTTCCGCACTTCTCATCAGCATTCTGGGGTAGCGGTTGGGGCCATCGCTACATCGCCTAACCTTACCAGTGAGGCGTTACCCCACCGCAAAGTTTACGATTGAATTGAGACTATTTGGTGCCCATCGTTGGATGGGAGCTCAGAGAAACGCCGCGCCGTGTCGCAGGCTACCAGCGAAGCGAAACCCCTGCCATTCTCCTTCATGCTTCGCTTGTTTGCGCGGCGCATCAAAGGGTGCATCATGTGTGCGCACGAAAAGCGGCTTAGTGGGCTGGTCGCTACATTGAGAATGTCGTTGATGGGCTTGATCCCCATCATTTGTTCAATTAAATCATCCTGGAAGTTGAAAGATCAAAGGAATCGTAACCTGGACATCCACGAAGTGCTGCGCAGACTGACACCTGGGTCAACCAACCATGCGCTAGTGCACAGGAAGCATCGCAATTGCCGAGCTGATGGAGGCCACTCATCAGAAACCCCTCCCAGACTCGCCACTCGCGCCAGACCTGTTATCTCCACGTTTGCGCAGCTCCATGGGGGCGAGGCATATTGCATCAGGGACAAAAAAGCAGAAAAACCCTCCCCAATACTTGATGTCTCTCGCAGGGTTAACATATTTATACTGTAATCCACGGAAAACAGCGTCATTGATCGTCCCCACAGCGGACAAGGGTTGTGACAACGTGCAGCCCCCTCCTGAAGCTTGGTTCCCTGGCGCCACGGTTGGAGCTGACTACAGGCCGAGGGCCGATTTGCTGAGGACATCATACTGCAGCCGCCTAGCCCTCATGTAATCACTTCTCAAGGCAACTAAATGATATCAATAGGCACCTGATCAATGGCGCAAACAGAAAATGCAACGAGCAAGATGTTGGAGTGCATTGGGACTGGAATTCGGCGCAGGACGGCATGGAGCTGCAGTGGCGAAAAATTGAACATTCTGCTCCGTGCACAGTCGTGTGAAATCGTGTAAAAGTCGGATATTTTGAATCACAATTTGGCAAGATTGGTAAAGTCGTGTAGTTTGCAGCCCTGCATAGTACACGAAAGTGCCTCACCTTACCGCCATGGACAACGCGACAAAGAACAGGCTTTTGCACGATTCCAACCGTATACCGGCGGCAGATGTGTACTTTGTGATCTCTACACAATTGGTAGTCGATTTTTACACAATTATTACTCGCATAGCCCGGTACAGAAATTTCAGGACACGGTACCGTGTATTTTGGACGATATTTAACTATTGATGGGCACGCCGCCCTATCCCAAGCAGATGCCCAAATAGCCCTCCACTCCACCTCAACCACTCGCTCAAGCAGTGATACCGCTTGCGATACCAGGAGCGATTGGGGTAGCCTCGGAGTTGCGGGAATTGCCTGGATGCTTGTCGTTGTGGGTGTCATGGACACGCCTTGGTACGTTTGGCCTCGCTGTGACCCGATGCCTGTGTGGTTCTACATTGCTCCAAATGCCCTTCCAGGTGTTGTGCACGTTGAACGATGGCACAGGACCTTCGCTTCGCCAGTTGCTCTGGCAAACCATTCCCAAATGCGCGCAAGATGGTATCAGTCTCGCCCCCACTTTGGTGATTGCCAGGACCAGGAGCTGGCACACACGCCATCGCATTGCGTACACACCCGAAATCTCATTTCTTCGCTTTGTTCAGAACAGGCTTGGGAAATGCGATTGGTATTTTTAAATTAATATTTTAATCCGTATTCGTATTGTACGAATGCGGATTAAAATATCAATACCATAATATACGTGTACTATCATCTACTTCCTCCATCCCAAGTTAACTGTCCTCTATTTGAGAGGGAAATCTCGTCATGAAATTAAAAATGGAGGCCAGAATCGGAAAGATTGGGTCGTAAAACCCTAAAGCTTGAATTTTCTAAAACAACATTTAGTCCTCGCCCTTGTGAGAGGCTCCCCTAAATTGCCTTGACGATGTACAAAAAATGCGCGTTCAATTTGCGTGGTTTTGTAGATCTGCAGCATGGGGTCCATTACCCCCTGGTTTGGGGCCGCTCCCGTGCGTGGGAATGGCAACGCCAATGGTTGCCGCCGTTGTGGGGAAGGACAGGGTCCAGCACGGGAAATTTGACGAACACACTCCAATGTGCATTTATACTCGTCTCAGGTGGCCATCGTCGCAGCGCTGACGATGCTCAAAATCGCCACTTTTCTCGATCTCCGATGGGCGGAACTCCAACGAGCGGAAAACATCAGAAACCAAGGCCAACATCTCAAACCCTGAAGCCTGGTATCAGTGCAGGCTGTCGCTCCAAGGCTGTTTGGTAGCCTTGCTCGGACATTTCGCCTCAGTTGATGCTTGAATAGGGGGTCGGGCGGGCTCCTGAACCGCAACTTCCCAAGCCGCCACTCTTTGTGGATACCGTGGCCGATGCTTGTGCTTGGTACACAATACATTGGAGCCTAGCAAGTCTCGAACACTCCAAAGACCCGAATTCACTTTGTAGCCATTTTCCTTGCACCCAATCCTTTGAACTCCAAAACAAGGGCAAATCGCCATTCCTGCGACGATGCCCAACTCACTAATTATACGCGCTATATCGTAGTGATAGTCATGACTGTTTTTGGAACCTTGTGAAAAGGATTGGGAGACCTCCCTCAACTGCCTTGACCATGTAGAAGGAGCCCAAAAAGAGCTGGCCAAAAAAAACCTGGGTTCCGAAAGTCGCTCCTAACCACCAGATCAAGCCTTAATTGATGCTGCAAGCCACGGAAATTCGGCGATCAAAGCTTTCGAAACGTTTTTTTGCTGCCACACCTCTTTGCAAGCACCCTAATGGCATCCGCTGTGAACGGCGGGGATAGTTTTGCAAGGACTGCTTTGTTTCGATGCCACGAAGGTGGGCTCCTCAAACAGCCAAAAACGGCTGTTTCAGCGCAACATCCAAAATCGATTCTTTTCTGGCCAGAGGACCCTTGATACAAAGTACTACCAAATCCTCAATACTCAATGGATTGACTTGCAATTTAGATAGTATACTCCAACTTCACAACGCAACTTTCGGGCTAATTTCATTGAAAACTAATTTATGCACAATGATCAAGTAATGTCACCAAAAGTAGAAAACAACTAATATGGGACAGAGGAAGTATCTTTGTTTCCAGCCTCAAAAATGCGCCTAAAAATACAGCAAATATTTTCACAATTACAGCCTCGATGACGCTAAAAGTTTAATCCGTCAGCATAGGTTGCCAAAATGAACCAATCAATCAGCATCCCAAAATAACGTTCAATTGTCAGCATCCATGTCTGTACCATCCGTGGCATCGTCGCCCACTGCCTCTACGACAGAAACTTTGTCAGCAGCACTGGGGACCTTCAGCGTCACCACTCACCCTTCCCGCATCCACAGCGTGTCCAACCCCCTGATGACGTGCAGATCGCAGGTCCGTGGGGTGCAAATGGCTGGCCTCATCCATTAATCGACCAGCCTACGAGCGCTCAGTATAATTGTCCCCCAATGCATCTAAGAATAGGTGCTGTTTACTTCGAATTTTTTTTTGCCGAATTACTCATATTATTGCGCATTGCTTCTAGACCCACCAGCATTCCCCAAGCCTGATTAAGAAATGCATCAAGGATCTTGTGTGCATGTGCCTCAGAGAACTGACGAGGTTGCAGCAAGCGGCCCAGGTTATCCAACCTTTGTAAGTAATGAGCACAGGGCTGTACCTATGCACAGCGCTGACAGGCATCCAAACTTTTTGTGAATTGGTTTCAAATCGTGCAAGAAGTGTTATGCATTCTCTTTCTTCGGAAGCTGATAAACGGCTTTTGTATCTGCTATGGGCACCATAATTCTGTGTTCAGCTTGGCCGTATGCTTCTAATAGCAAAGCAGTTTGGACGTCTTCCAGGGTTATTTGATTTAGTGCAATCCTGTGTTCCGTTAGAGAGACACTATTCTGATTTTGGTATGCTTAGCGTCAAATGGACGCTAGGGGCTGGGGTGGGGGGTTAGGCAATGAACGCTGGGAGATTCCGCTATTAGACCAGAAACCAAGTCAGGTGGCAAGATACACCAAAGCGCCGCTGTTTAGCAGCGGACAGCCCATCGCCTGTTGCAAAACCTCCCTGAAGATTTCAATCTTCGACGAAATCCTTAGAATGGATCAATCTACTGCTTCTAGGGCTGCGCCCACCGCCTATCATGGCCTTTAACATCTCTTTTGTCAGCCCACTACTATCGTTACAAATTTGGTTGTTTTCGTTTTCCCTTAGAAACATCGTGAAGCTGCATCGCGCACTGTTTGGGCAGGCTTGGTCTTTGCGTTTACGTTTAGTTTTCGCGTTTCCATTGTGTACATTGAAGCGCAAAAATGGAAAAGGGGCTACTTTTACGGCTATATTTACAGTTCGTTGGGACACCCACGCGACATGATGAATTCGCGTACAATGGTGAGTCCCTCATGCAACCGCAGTACAGCGTCCATCTCGAGTCGCCAAGGGCAAAGGCGTCTTGGATCAAAGAGCCGCTTTCTGCCCATTCCAGCGTGTCTGGCTGCCGCTATTCGGACTCACTAAGTCTGCACGTACTGTCACAAGGTACACCGGGTCAAAGTTTAGGTATCTTTACGTGGATGTATGAGTAAAACCTAAATACTATTTGTACACGCAGGCTTGGCTCTTACGTTTACGTTTACGTTTTTGTTATTACGCGCAAAAACGTAAATTTGCAGCAGGCCCTATTTTGCCGGCTATTTTTACGTTTTTACGGCTCCCTGGGACCCCCAGTGCTACACGATGAAAGTTGGGTACAATGATCAGTCTTGCGCCATCTCCAGCACCTGCAACGCAATGTCTACCTCGCCCTTGGCAAGGGCGGCAATGGCATTTAACAATAACTCGTTTTCTGCCCCTTCCAGGCCGTCTGTCTACCATTCTCCGGACTCTGTAAATGTGTACGTACTGTCGTTATATACACCGTGCAGTTTTTACGTTGTATTTACGTATTTTTACGCATTTTTATGTGTGAAAACGTAAAAATTATTTTCACGCGTAAAAATGTTAATACGATCAATGTTCACGGCATAAAAACTAAGCCTCTTTACACGTAAGTACGCGTAAACACTCAGTGTTTGGGCTGCAAAGGCCAAGCCTGCTGTTAGGTAATGTTGCTGAGTCATGTTAGCGTCGAAATGGGGATTGACGTCACTGGGGGAAATAAAGACTTGTAAAGGGGGATCTGAGCTTAGAGCCCACTCGATGCAAGTGCCCCAAAATAGTGTTTCCCTCAGCGTCCATGGTTTGGACCAAACCCCGTCTCCCTTCCTATCAGGGTCCATTTGACGCCAAGCGTACAAGTATAAAGTTCAAACTAATATTCTTCCTAAACACAAACAGCAGGCATGAAGCTGGTGATCATGACCAACTCCGATGGCGGGGCCGAAATCATGCCAGGCTGTGCGCCAGGAAGAACATTCGCTAACCGGGACCAGCAGCATGGAAGATGGTTGCAAGTCATTGTGGCCGCCAAAAAGGCCCCACGGACTTGGAATCGCCGCCGACCGACAAATGCGCTGCCTTGTGCCCGACTGGACGCTCAGTAGCGCCCCCTCATGCGTGCTTTGTAGTGGCTTACGTGGGTGGCTTGGCGCCACTTGGAACGTGGTTGGTTGCCGCACATAAGCACATGGTCGCCCCTCCTCCTTCAGCCTTCACAGCTTCCGAGACCTATTCGCGGCGATGCCGTTCTCGGGACGGGCCCCCGCAGGGCAGCACACCGAGAGCAAGCTTCGCACCGCCCGCAGCAGCTGCATGGATGCGATGCGACCCCATCTCGTGTGGCGAGGGTTGTGGCTGGCCATGCCGGCGTTCCTGGCGGCGGGAATGATCTTCTTTGGCACTGCCCTTCCTACGGTGGCCGGGGAGACCGCAGGTATGGCCGTGCGCCCAGTGGAAGGGGGAAGGGATCCGAGAACGAAATTAAAAAGAGCGGCCTGCAGCCAACGCCACTGTTGCCAACATTTTTGCGGCGAATTTCGCTGTGGCAGCGCTGCCACGCTAGCGTCGGGCAAGCCTCGCCGCTAGCCTCCCCGTTCTAGACAGATCTGTCTGCGCCACGTTCGGCGTTCATGGCAACGCAGGGCGACCATAGGACCTACCAGATTCGTTATGGCTGATGCCAGGCCACTTAACAGCCATTGCGTCGAGCGCCGGGCCCCGGGGCAGCAGGACGGCACCGCCTCGGAGGGCTTTGACCGGACGGATTGACGGGAGGGACGCAGCGCCAGGTCCGCTGCTGCATCCAGCAGTGACGCACGTCACACATCACGCACGTCGTTACATGCTGCTGGGCGCCCTGGTGGCGCCGAGCGATCACCACCGCGCCCTTGGCAGCAAACCTCTCCGTGGGCATCCAACCCGCAGATCATGCCCCGTTTGCCACGACCAGTGCACTTCCGGGAGGGGGGGGTTATTGCTTTTGTGCTCAAGTTTGCTGGATGCCTTCCTGGTCCGAGGGCACGAGGCGGTACCACGCCACAGGGGCTTGCGGTTCCCATCGAGGAGGTGCACCTGCGGCCAATCAGTCGTCGGGGCCTTGCAGGCAACTTGGACGTACAGCGCCTGTGGTGCCCGTGAAGTGGCATGCTACGCCATGCCTCTGTTTCTGCACATGGTGCACACATTCGTGCACCTGATACTGTTGTCTCCACGTATGACGAACTCAGTGTCAGTTGCAGCAAGATCGTGGCACCGGGTTGTCCGTGCACATCAATGGTTTTGCCCACTGAAGAGGATGTTCAGAAATAGAATTGTCCCTTACTGTGATTATGCTGATGGTTGTTTGACCTTGTGTGCCTTCTCAGATCTTGTGGATGCATCAGCAGATTCTCCTGTAAGTTCTGTTTCTTTTTGTGTTGGACTGACTTTCACCATGGTCTTCCTTACCTGCTGCTCTTCCCTGTCTCACAGCCAAGAAATGTTGCCATCTGCATCACTAAGTCTCGTCAAAGAATTGCAGCGTTCAGTTGGGGGTGGCTGCCGCAGTCTTGGAATTGTTCAGAGTGCATGTCTAGCTCTGTGTAATCTTGCCTGCAATTGTATCAATATTTGCGATTTCGGTATCATTGTTTTGGTTTTTAGGAGGGATCAGATGCCCTGGCAGGGCTGCTACATTGCAATGACATATTGTTATTTCGAATGCGCCTGCCTCATTGTGTGCCAGTAAGTGGATGCAAAATTTGTAACGGATCCAATGGTACAAGAATGCCAGCAATTGCAGGCGTACGTATCTCTGGAAGTGAAAGAAATCTATGTTGACTATGTTGCAGCACTGCAACTCATGACTGCTTTTGTCCCAGCACCCAACAGCCATGACAATACACACAGCATAGGGCACAAGAATGTGTGCCATGCTGGAAATGGTGGCCTGATCGCCTTGGTGCATGGTCACATCACATATGGTCAACTAACTTGGCATTTGAGTTTTATGCACTTCCAAAGCATTTTTGGGATTGACACATATGTAATTATTTCGTCTCATTTCGTGGAGAGAAACATGGGCAGACAAGATGATCACAGGGGAAGTTTGCTGTGGCGTGCAGTGTACATGCCTGTCAATTATGTATCTGCTTGATTACTCCAACGTTGTGAATGGATTAAATGATTCGACCGCTCTTAAGAATGACCTACACAACTGGACGATGTCACGCTGTTTGCACAGTTTAATATACTATTGCATTGTGGTCTCCAACTCTGTGTTTGAGGAAATTTCTGGCACTGCCATGCATTGCACCAGAGAGTTGCAGGTGTGTAATATGTGCTTGCCCTGAAATTTTGCTGACCAGTGAGCTTGCTGTGCACAGGTCGCAGCGACTGAGTGTCACCTTCATTACCCGTTCGTTGTGAACATTCTGGACCCGTTGCACAAAACTCACATGTGCACAGGTTTGACATTTGTTCCGATGTTTGCATCTCACCAGTGCACTGCATGTATGGGAAGGCATGTTGGTAATTAGAGTGCAGTTTATCCAATTGCTGGGATCTGTAGTGGCAAATCGTCAGATGAGGATGACTCAACTTATGTCGAGGAAAATTAGCACTCTGGGCTGGATATTGGACCATGATACATAGCAAGTCAGTCATATCAGGCCATACACAAATGCACAGTATTCGCCAGGCTTGTTTTTTACGCCGTAAAAACTGATCGTATTTACGTTTTTACGCGTAAAAATAGTTTTTACGTTTTACGCATGGAAATGCGTAAAAATACGTAAATTTAACGTAAAAACTGTCTGGTGTACATAAGGACAGTACATGCAGATTTACGGAGTCCGGAGAGCGGCAGCTAGGCGCCCTGGAAGGGGCAGAAAACGAGTTTTTATTAAGCGCCATCATCGCCCTTGCCAGGGCCGAGGTGGACATTGTGTTACGGGTGCTGGAGTTGGCGGAGGACTGATCATTGTACGCAACTTTCATCCTGTTACCTGGGTGTCCCAGGAAGCCGTAAGAACGTAAAAATAGCCGTAAATATAGGCCCTTTTGCAAATTTACGGGTTTGCGCATAAAAACGTGAAAGTAAAAACGTAAACGTAAATATAAAAACCACGCCTGGTATTCGCGAATGTTAATGCACGAGGCACAACACATGAATATGAGCTCATTTATCCAAAGTGCTGTTTTGCAGGTGTGCTGATCCAGTCGCACATTGTTCTTTCAACGGCTTCGTGTCTCCGACTTATAGAAGCAGGGGAAGACCTGCCTTACACCAGGCCCGGAAGCTGCAATTTGAACAAATACGATGGCCCTGAGGGAAATGAAGAGGTGTGTGTAACACCTGATGGAAGACAATCACAGGACTCAGTACTCAATGAAACTTGTTGTGCCTTCCTGGGCAAAAATATGGTTACGTACATGATAAAGTGAACAACGTGTTCATGCAGAGACACAGATCACGTTCAGCATCCAGTCATGCAAAGCTTGTTGTCAGTGTTCGTGGTTCAGCGTGTATAGCAGCAGATTTGGCGCGCTGTTTTTTGGATGGAACCCTTGTACCGAGTCCATCACGATCACATTCTGAGGCCTGATGCATCCTGTATGAGTAATAAAGCAACACTATGCAAGTTTTCTGGGACAATCTTGGAGGAAAAGCCTCTCCAACAGACACACTATGTTTGCTTCATCATTTGCTAGACGTAATGTATACTTATTGCACCTGTTGAGCAGTTGGATTCCAATTTCATAGTTGCAATCGTGGTCCAGCACAAGGTCCCACACTTTTAGTATTCATAGGCCTGCCTGCTCATGTTAAGGCCTTAGATGTGTGCCATATGGTAATGGGCGTATATACAACGCTTGGCCACAAGAACATAATTGCGCCTCTTCCTGCTGCTGCCAAAATCACATAGCTTTACACTGCTATCTTGGTAAGCCTTACTGTGGTCGCATTGTTATGTTGAAGGCGATAAATTAGAATGCCTTGTTATGTGTGTATGCATGGTTGGATAAGTGGAATAACGTACGTGGAATACGAATTGCGTGCCGCACTGTCATGCATATGTTTCCATTAAAAACATGTGTGGGTTTTCGGTCTGCTCGTTTTCCTGCAGTTCTGTTGGATTTAGAGACATGCTGAACGAACTTGAGTTACAGAGGTGCCTTGTTTTGATGGGAATCTCGCATTTGAGATTGTGGAAGGTCGCTCTGTGACTCAGGAAGCTTTGACACACTGTCTCAGCGCTGCCAGCAGCACAACATAGCCACTGTATCCAAAGTGACGTGTAAACAGCTATGGTCATTGTAAATATTCGCCGGATTAACGCTATTACCTTTACTTTAGAATTTTATTTCCTGCCACTATTGAATGCACAAATCAGAACTAATCTAATCTTATTGCATTCAATGTATCATATTTTGCGTAAATTCACCTGCAAACTGTGAAACACATTTTGCCTAGCCACGTTTACCCCCACAAGTGTTGAAGAGCATATCAGCTATATTAAGTTCTGCATGGAATTTGGCGACGCACCTCGTTTCTGCACATGGGCATGTTCCAAGACTGATAAAACCTTGTGGGGTTAATCGTTTGAAGATGGGATGACTCGTTTGGTGATGCTCCCATGGGAGAGCCCTGCAATGGTGCGACGTCTGTCATGATGTCAAGGAAAAAAAGCACCTGTGGATGTTACATTCATTTCTTACATACAATATTGTATGCACAGTGCTATTCTAATTAGAATAATTAGAATAAATGTTATAACATCGACATGTGCAAGGCTGGTGGACGATACCAACTGGCCCCTTAACGAATAGCCCATAACTGCCTCCTTAAATTGCTTCTTCTCTTAGTGTCAAAAACGTGGCCATAAATGGGCATTGCGGAAGGTGCTTCCCTAGCAAATAGGGAAGCGGACAATATGCAACAACAATGTCGTTGCTGAGGTGCCAAGTCTGGCAGTCAATGCAGCTTCTACCCTGAAAACACAACTTGATTTAGGTCCCAGTCCCTCACCCATTTGCGCAGCACAGCCTCGCCAAGTGCTACCTGCACCTGCTCAATATGGGAGGAAAACGTGACCCCAATGCAACCATGCAGTACAGCTGCCAGTTCCACCAAGTGTGGCAAGTGCAGACAGCAGCCATCGCTGCCATCGACGTGGACATCGCGGCCATCATTGTTGCATCAGGTCGCACCCACACAGTCTGTGAGGGTTTGCATCTCTGTCTCCAGAAAATTGTCCATTGTGTATCACCATCTCTGTTAGCACAAACCAATGGTCACTGCAGCAGCCGACCAGCCAATGATGCCAACTTCCAAGTGCCAAAGACCTGTAGTGCTCACCATACAGTACAGTGCTGATTACTGTCATCTGGGGCCCTCTGCGTGCCGCACCAAACAATGGACTGCATATTTGCTTGCTAAGCTTGCCCCAAGACTCGGTGACCAGCGAAATAAACCTGCCAATTGCCGACAATTCTGAAATGAGTGTAGGCACAGACGTCAAAGGAGGTTCTCACCTCTTTTTTGATATATGTCGATTTGAGCACATTCATTGATAAACTCTTGATGTCCACTGTCCTCTGCAGCCTCCAATTGTTTGTTGGTCGCAAAGTGTGCTATATTTTGCATCTCCTAGTCATCCTCATAATGTTGTTTAATTCAATTTTGTACAAATTTCGCTTGAAGATTTTCAGCATTTTAGTCTTTGACTGCAGGGCATGACGACGATTCTCAATCACTTGTTTTGCATACTGTGAAGGTGATCAGAGTGCAGGAAAAGATAGTGCATGAAGAATACACAGGGCAACCCCAGGGTGGAAGCAACTTTGCCTTGTTGGTCCTCAAGGACAAGATGAAGAAACACACCCCAATACATCGCACCACGTCCATTCAGGGCTGCACAAGTGCCAATCTCAGCACTGTCGGATGGTTTGCCAATCCAATTGATGACTCTCCCTCCCCGTTCTTGTATGTAGCCTGGAGCTTAAGCCACATAGCACCAGACAAGTGCGAGGAAACACTTGACAAAATGAAGAACCCCCTTCCAAAGGACGCCATCTGTGCCATCACTCCACCATCGTCGAACCGTGCCTGTAAGCTGGTGTTGATACCACAATGTGTTTCATGCATTCATTCAGCCATTTCATCCGTGAATTGTTCGTGGTGATGTTGCCATGAATGCAGTTGAGAATACGTGCTAGTATCTGGGTAGGTGAAGGTGCGCACTGTGCAGTGCACATTGTGCACTGTCCAACAGATGTGATGAGGCCGACATTGGTCAGTGCATGGGCTTGGTGAAAGGACTTCCACTTGCTTTTCGCAAAGCAGAGGAACACTTCTGCCCTTTTGTCAGCATGATTCCATCGATCTTTCAAACAAGTGTGTCTCTCAGCTGTCTTGTACAATGGAGGGTAAGCGCAGACGTTCTTTGCGTACACTCTGTGTCTACTTTATGTGTGAGTATCCGTACGTGCAACGCTTGTTGCAAGACAGAATGATGAGGCTGCAATCCCGCTTTCCATGCCTTTGCCCATATGGAGTTCAGCATCAGCCCTGAGACAGAACATTGCAAAGATGCAGCGAGGAGTAGGTGGCGAAATGTTGTGCGTCCAGATGTGCAATCACCTAGCAGACAGTGTCCAACAACCCTAAAGAATAGGAGGGGCGAGATATAACAACTGGCAAATTGACAAGCCAACTATTAGTCAATCCTGAGTCTAAGACGGAGGCGGAACGAAACACTGCCCATGATCTCTGCAACAGCGTGAGCAAGAGGAAGCCCATGCCAAAAGCCATGTGTGCTGGTGTCAAGGAACCCTTCCTTTTAACTGTCACTTCCTATCCAGCGACGAGGCTGAAAGATCGTGGTACATGTGCTGACTACTCAGCCTGCTGGGCATTCCCATGCATTGCCCCTTGGCAAATCCAAGATTTTCCCCAAACCTACCAAACAGGGTAATAATGGGATGTGGACAGTTCGGCTCAGTGGAGCCCATTTACCCAAAGTATCCCACTCGAATCGCCTGTCCGAGCAGCTAGTGTACAGCTTCCTGCAGTGCCTCCTGCAGCTGGGTATGCCTTGGCCTCGGGCATGTTTTCAAGTGAATCATTTTTATTTCAATGATTACCTAATTTCTGGAATATTTGTTGTCTTGTCTGGGAATTTTGGCCTCTTGTATGCTGCGAATGACAATCTGATTTGCATCACAGGGGACGAAGGGGCACCTCTTCTGTGCTACGACCACAACGGTGACCCAAGCCTCGTGGGCTTGGGAACGTTCGATGGTGCCCTCCCTGGAAAGAAAACCTACTCGCCCTATGTCTACACCCACATCAGCGAAATGAAAGGTTGGATCGACAAGAACATCAAGACTTTTGTTGACAAAACGGAGCTGTGAGAAAACGGAGGAGAGTGGTGCACTTCTGGTGCAGAAGATTTCAGAATGTTGCGCATGAAGATGAGGTGGATTGCTTTGATCAGCTTTGGATTGTTTGGATATTGGGCAAAGAGCAGCATGGCACCCAGCAATTTGTTGAAATTCAGTCATCAATTGGATTAACGCAACGAGTACGCAGGAAGGGCGCAGGTTGTTCAGTTGGCACAGTTCGGTCTCTTTCGTTCGAAACACTGATAGCTGATAGGCTCCTGACTGTTTCCTTATCCACGTGCTGTTTTGAGTTTTGCTCACTGTGCCATTGCAGTACGTGATGACAGCAAAAGTTATCAACAACAATACTGCAAAAATAATGGCAGCAATGCTGTCCTGTTGGGACTGTGGCAGCACGCCTGTGGCCTTTGCACCCATCAGCACAGCTGACACTGAGCCCTGCACTGGCTGCTGCAGATTGGCCCTCGCTGCCCTGTGCACCAAGATTCCTCGTGCCCCCCGCTGCTCTTGAACAACCCAGGGCATGTACAACCATGCTGCTCATGTCTTCCAACTGCCAAACTGATACCAATTCAAAGGGGCACCAGCCACTTCCACTACCAGGCACAGTTGATTGCTGACGCTCTGTTGTGCACATGCACTTCCATTGGTGTACAAGGAAATTTGCTATGTCACTGCGACAAATGGGATCTCAAGTATTGACAATTAGCTCAATCTTGATTCAATTTAACTGCGGCAACACTGCTGCTTGCAACCTGCACGTGAAGCAAACCAAGACATTCTGCACTTGCATACAAAGGCTCAGCGTGCCTGTTCTCCCCACCACACATTTCCTTTCACACAAGCGCTTTGTGCAGTGCCCTTGCAACCCCAATCCACACAACTGCATGCAGCCAAGTGCAACGTACTAATGTGCACGTGCAGTGCTGTGCCACGAAATACATGTACCACAGTGTTTCCTATGTGCTGCTGGCCTGCATCTGTATGGATGCAGTGCTTGAGGCGCTGCGATCTACATGTACATTGTACTTCCACTGAAATCCACTGTTATTGAATGGATCAGATACATGTTCCACCCAGCGTCCAAGGAACCCCTCCCTGGTGACGATGGCCTGGATGTAGAAGCCCATCAAGTCCAGATGATGGGCAGCTGTCCATTCTTCACTCACCTGCCAACAAGATGGACGAGCACAAACACTTGATTTGATATTTGTCCTTCCAATTCAGTACATCACCCTTGAGAGCAGCAAAATAGATTGTGGATTCCATGAAGAACCCATGGACGTTCACAGGCCAGTCCATTGTCAGATTAAAAGTTGAGTGAGAGGCAGTCAATTTCATATGGGCATGTTGACCTATTTTCAAGGTGGGGAGGAAGGCGTCATGGGGACTAAGGAAAAACAGCTGGTGGGCTTGAAAGAGCAAACAATCATGGTATTGATGGTTCCTGGGTGATTAGCCCACCAGCAGGATGCAGCAAGGCTGAGATGAAAACAGTGTCGAAGGGGTTAAATCCAAAAACTCCATCGGTTAGTCTCAACAAATGGTGATGTCAGGGGCGGGGGGCTAATAGTGAGCAATAGGTGGCAGCAGTCAGATAACACAGATAGGTCCATAACAGCTAGCAATGCGAACTTTGTTGAATTTCAGTGATGCCAAACAATTGTGCACTGATTATTCACGGAGCTGATGGCCACCCACATAACCTTTCGAATTGTTCTGATTGAGTTTTAGCAGATCTGCAGCCCTTCCTTTTGAACGATGCACATGCGTTGATTCTGTGTTTCAAGTGTTGATTGATCCTTCACACTTGAGATTGGGTTCTTTTCTATCTTGGGACCGACCTTCCACCCTTGGACACATCAAGGACAGGGATGCCTGTTATCAAAGTTCTGCCAATCCCACCCAAGTAAATTGCTTGCCAAGCTTGCAAAAATGGGTTTGGACCAGTGGCAATTGTCATGAGAAGGGAAATCCAGACCAATGAAACCATCGAGCCATACACAAGGGAAAAAGGGGCCAAATAACACTTTTGCAAACACACGTGAAACACATTTCATCAAAGTTCTGCACGCTAAGAACACAAACATAACACAAACCTGTAAACTTTGTACACATTTGAACACGTGTTATTTTGCCCTTTTTTTCCTAGTGATAGTCCTTGCCATCTTCTTCACTTTGGTAAGGTCGTTGGTGAATATCATGCAGTTGACTGTCCACAAAGATACAGCTCATCGGCGACTTCGCCCAGCAGACCACTGTCGGTGCTGTATGCCTCAACGCCACCCATCAGCATGCACTATCGGATCAGCACAAGCAATAAACATGTCGAAGCTAAATCTTGAGATACACTTGGAGCAAATCATAACCAAAGGATATAACCGAGGGGACAAGCACAACAAAGTGGATCAAGAGATAGGCACAAAACACAGTGAAACTTCGACATGTACCATTGCACACGTGATTCCAACATAATATGTCATTTTGAGAAGTGTCCACTCCATGAAAACATAAGAGGGCACAGCTGCGAAGGACATGTCCCTGGACATGGTCAGCGCACCGTCAACACAACACATTTCCAGGCGCTTCTACTCTGCACAGCCTCATTGCCAGTAGAACTTGCCAGCTCAATGCTGCAACTCAGCATACAGTTTTATATAGGAGCTTTGATCAGGAAGGTCCAGAAAACCTTTAACAGTGTATCATCACTGCTTTTCAACAGAATATGGCGTTTTCCAACAATCAGGCCATTGCCAACAATGGGCACGAATCTGTACTATTAAGACAGGGGCAGCATTTCAATGCTTGAAAGGATCCCCATATTCTGATGCATTCTTTAGAAAATGCACATTCCTGAGAATTGACCCAGAGCTCTATCAAATTTACCAACAGCAGTGGCTTGCAAATACCCTGCGTGCTGCTGCTCATAATCGAATTACAAGAGGAATTAGTGAGTGCGCTGCCCCCATCTTGTACCACAATTGCGCTGTTGCACTTTTGTGCGTCCGTCCTGTCTACACAACGACTTTCTATTATGTAGCTTGAGGCAGATTGTGCCGATTCCCTTTTCACCTTCTCCCTTTTCACCAGATAACTATTCAGCAAGTTGCATACGCCCCGCATATTCTCCAACGAAGTAGGGTGCTCAGTTTATTGTGTTGCCACAGTGAGATTATTCCACAATGTTGTCCCCTGGACCCAGCTGTCTCCACCTGAAATGCCCGATGTGTGCAAACAAGGAATCCAAAGCCACAAGGAAACTAGCCACAAGGAACGACAGGGGGATGCACTAACTGTGTGTTCCCCAGTTGGTCCACATCTCTGTCGCTCAACTTCTGGGGTGCTGCCTTGAACCAGGTGGCGATGCCAACTCCACAGTGCCATACTTGGATAGTACAAGATGCATCCATTTCTTCATTGGGTTTTCCTTTGGGCTGAAGCAGGAGATAGGCATTGCACCACTTGTTTCTTCTTTCAGACCATGGCGCTAGATATTGAAAAGGGTGCTTCATCCTCTCTCCTTTGCTCTTGCCATTGCCACCTGATACAGAAGATGTCTTGCTGGATGCCAATGTGCAAGGGCTCCATTTAATTACCTCAAGGCAAATGCGGCACTTGCTCAATGCTGAACTCATGAGTAGGCTCCAAAAGCGACTGGTGAGCATTCCTGCAACCATATGTTGATTCAAAACTGGTGAATTATGCAGGCGCTTTCCTGGAGCACACCTTGGGAAAAAGGCAGCTGGCAGTGTCCAGCATAGTCCAGCTAGTGTGAAAGAGGTAACGGCACCTTTAAGGGTCTCAGGGTTGGCAAACTGGGTGGGAGAGTCCCACCCATCGTCTCCTGCGACTTCGATCCAGGTGCAGGAGGGACAGTCACACTAGGAGAGGAGGCAAGCCAAGGAAGAAAGAACAACACAAAACGTAAGTACAAGAAAGGTGGCAGAGCGTTATGTGAAACAAATGATATCTGATGTCAGCACTGACGAAGGCAGGCAGGATCGAGGGGTGGCAATCCCTGAACGGGAATTGTACTCTCGAGTCCATGGCAACGGTTTACAGCCGAGGCAAAAGGACAAGAGACATTCCGCCCTTTATACTCAGTCTGTTCATCAACATCTTTAATGCAATTCCTAGTGCTTCGTCATCTTTTCGTGCATTCAGTTATTAGTAACACTCAATCAGTTCTAGCCGTAGCAGCACCTTGAGCAACATGAGCAAAAGTGAAGACAAAATGAGAACCCAAAACAACAGACTAGGGTAATATCTGAAAGGAATGAAAGCCTTGCAGGTCGAGGTGGGACAGTGGGAGAAGGGAGCCTGTGAGGCAGAAGATTGCACCCAAACCCACATCAAAACGGAACTGTGCCGCAGATGCACAAAAACAACAGAATATGTACCCCATCTCGGATAACAGACTGTGTGGCAGGGGCGGGGCATCTGCAGCCAATGGATGCCCAAGAAGGTTGTATTGGGTTCGTCTCTGCAATTGATTTCATGATGCACTCCACGGACAGGTGATCTTGAGCAGTGCAAGCTGGACTCTTATCAAGCTGCCAAACGTTGACTTGTTGGCAATCTTTCCAAGCATTATGGGGCGCACCAGCTAGTTAGGCCAGGCTTGTCTCAAGGGCACTCTGGGAGCAGAGGCGATGAAACAGGAACCGCACAGAAATTCCGCACAGTTGCACTTTGAGTTAATTTCATTTTCATTTCGCCCATTTCGTCCCCGCGGCTCCGTTCCCCCCGCAGAGATAGCCACCCCGCACCCGACATTCTGCCTCCCTCGGGCACACTCCTTCGGGATAAGTTTTGCAGTGCCCCTGCACCTCGCAGGCGACGACGAACAAGCACGCATCCAAGATCCCATGCTCCCTTCCCGCCGGACGCCCTTATCAATCAATCAGTCAGTCCACGCTAAGCGAACGCTGCAGGCGGTGGCGCCGAATCCCGAGCCAACCAGCCAGTGTGCCCCGCTGATGGAATCGCGATTCATATTTCGGCCGATC